TTAATGACATAATGCTTTATTTTTTTATCAACAGATAAATTTAAGTTATTTTATGATAATTGTAAATAGATTATGTTCTTAAAGAGAAAAACATTTATTTAAGTTGAATTTTGCAGATATGATTGGTTGCATATTATAGCATAACGTTTATTTTTAATTTAATTGAGATAATGATTAATAATAATTATTAATTAATAAATAAATTTTTTTTTAAATAATCTGTATTTTTTTATTGATGATATAAATATAAAATATATAATTGAACTTTATACTAAATTAATAAATTCATGTTTCATATTTTATAGCGTCAAATACGGCACAATAGATACTTGCTCTTAACAGAATAGTGAATACCATCTACCAAGACCTGGAAAGTAAAAGAAACTGCTCGGCTACCTCTTAGACATATCGCAAGCATTTGACAAAGTTTAGCATCTCGGAATACTATACAAAAGAAAGAAGAATTTGCCATATAATTATATTAAAGTAATAAAATCATACCTCGATAATAGAATGTTTCAGGTAAAAATAGAAGACGAATATACCGATTTATTCCAATAGAATCTATTTCTAAAACTAGGAACACTACGATTACAACATTCGTTGATGATACATCAATCTTTGCATCAAACGAGAATCCAGCAGTAGCATCTGAATATCTACACAAAAATTTAGATAAGCTACAAGAATGGCTTAAAAATGAAGAATAGCAGTAAGACTTAATGGACAAGATCTGCCCAAAGCAACAAAAGTAAAATATCTAAGCATGCTTCTCGGCCTAACAAATGCCTAACAAATAGTATTAGGGCTTCATGGTTCGTCAGGAATAAACAAATACACGAAGATCTGCATATAGATATGGTCAAGGATACAATACCAACATTTAGTAGTAGATATCAAGATAGACTGGAGTCACATACTAATGTTCTGGCTATTGGCCTTGTTGACAACTGTGAAACCACAAATAGGCTGAAGCGGTGCAAACCACTAGATTTTGTATATAGTTTTAAGTAATTGTTAATATTCAAAATTAAAAAAATATATATAATTTAAAAAAAAACTGATACAAAGGCTATTGGCCATAGGTCTTTCTGCCTGTTCAATATATTTAATGTCAACCGTGATCTTAAATTTACTCAATATTCAAATTGATGAACAGATTGTGAATAAAATTACGACATATTATTTTTTTCATAATTTTTAATTGGATTTTGAATTCTTGAATTTTAAAAAAGAAATTTAAGTAATCTGTTATTGAAATATCTTAAGTTATTATTTCTAAGTGAATTAAACCAAAGAATTATGTACATATTTACATTATAATTAATTTCTTTTCGAAATATTATATTTGTTAGAAAAAATTGGAATATCAATTTTTATAATGTGCCATCTAAAATGACTTCAAATTAAAAAAAAAATATTGCAATGAAGTTCGATTCATCAAACACAGGAAAGCTTAAAATAACAACAATTAATTAAAATGAAGCATATTTTTTTAGGCAAGTTTTATAATTTATAAAAAATGGTAATTCTTCTGGAAACTTGAAAGTCCAGAGAACAATTATGCATTTTGCATATAATTTATTTAGGTTTATCAAGTTATAAAAGACATTCATTAAAGTTTCAAGTCAAAATAAAATAGTTAAATTTGAAGATAATGAAATTTAAAAAAGTCTCTTAGTAGTTCCAAAGTGGCATCTGCATTGTATCGTGTATCCTTTTAGCGATAAATGTTATAAATAATAAAGTATATTCTTTTGCATTAGTAAAAACCATGTGAATTTTATTTAAATTAGGAAACCAAGGACTTGTACAATGCTGTATTTAAATACTTATAAATATACATGATTGCTTTTTCGTCACATTTGGTTTTTGTTATAATCAATTTTTCATTTCATTAAGTTAAGTTGTTTAATGTTAAAATCAATAATAAGTCATAAATTAAAATGTATTTGTTTATTATTTTGAAATAAACCTACATATTACTCTAATACAAAGCTTTATAGATATTTACATTATTGTTTAACATCTATATAAGTAGGAATTATTACAAATTAGCAATTATTAATAACATTGTTAGCAGAATGTCTGCTAATTGATCGTATATTATTAATGAAACAAAATAAAACCATAAAAAGCTAAAAATTTACCCGGATCAAATTTCATTGATTCGTATATTATACGATGATTCTCGAACACGTAGCGCAGTCTTTCCTCAAAATCTATGCTTATTTGAGATATAGATAAACAGGATATTAAGGAGTTAATGCAGGTATCTGGTGAGGGCTTTACCAACGACGACCTTCAAGAACTAGTAGAACAAAATAGTGATTCTGAAGACGATGAACCAAAAGAACTTCCTAGAGATTTTCTTGGACAAAGTTTAGAAATGATAATCGAAATCGTTGATCAAATTGTAGCGAATAATCCAAATTTTGACAGGAGTGCAACAGCAAGAAGACAAGTTTTGGGTGCGATAGTCTGTTACCAGCATTTGTTTAATGAAAGAAAAAGAAAGCGATAAATGACTCTAGACGATTTTATCGCCAAAAAATCAAAAATATCAGAAGAGCCAAGACCTTCATCACAAAAATAAACTTAATATGCAAATGTTTATGTTATATAAATTATATATTATAATGCAACTTAAAATTAAAGGAAAATTTGTTCATTTTTGGTCAAGTGTTCCCGTTTCCCTATTTGCTATGTGTTAAACTGTCCTTCTAGAACGTTGTTTCGTTTAGCGCTCTGTCTTCAGGAACGCATCTAAAGCGCTAAACGAGATCTTACTGTATATGCAAAATAGAATAATGAAAAATATCTAAAAAACTAGTATCAGCCTAAGCAGCCAACTTAGTTCTTGAGACCGACTTTTCTACTTACAAAGAATCGCGATCAATCTGATCTATTTAAATTAACTTTTTTGATCTCGTTTGCTAGTGTCACATTGTAAATTTTTCAATTTGTTGTTTTCCTGAAAAAGAAAAATCAATATCGAATAAAATCTACTACACACATAGCTCCCTATACAATCTCAGAATTTTTGAACCCTGTCGTAATGTATAAATAATAATAATATTTATTGCAAGAAATTACCAAAATATAAACTTAACAGAATAACAAAAGTAGAATTAAATTTTGAAGGGGATTTGATGTATTCTTTTAATTCACCCTTCATGGATTCATGCCTTCATATGTTGAATAGTCCGAGATTATTTTTCAATAAACTTAATTGCGCCTCGAGAAAAAAAAATCTTGCAAAACAAAAATGAATGCCTCAGAGGATATTGGCGAAACCGATTATTGGCACTATGCGAGGTATTGCTGTATTTGTTCGCCCCACTTCATTATTCGGTTCAAGAGATTTTAACTATCTTGCGATTCTAAATTGTTCTTTATTATATCAATAAGTTTGTGATAGTACATTTTTTTTTACTTTTTCTGGAAAAGCCTTTGTAAGCATGTATAAGTATATTTGAATTTATTAAATGTGTGTTTTGCTTCAGTTAAAAAAGGTTATCGCAGCTGTAGTCAGAAAATTGATTTTATTCGCAATTATTGGTAGTTAATCAATTGAACAATTGCCTAATGCTGCACGTAAGGAGATATATTTAAGACGTACCAATAACTATGTACGTATGGCAATTACAGTTACCAGTTTAGTTTCAGTGTCAGCGGACTCCATTATAACCAATGTCACGCAAAATATGGATGCAGCGTGACAACGCAAAGGTTAAAACCAATACGGCTTGAAACGTCACTATTTCATTTTAATTAGACATTCAATAAACAGATTAAGTTATTATAACGAGTAGGTTACATTTATGGTTAGACATCTGGATAACAAATTTCATTCTTCGAATTAATTTGCTAAATAAATTCAAAATAAGTGCAGTCCATATATCAAACAGAAAACAAGTCTTAAGTTCTAGAAATTTTAAAGAATATTAATAATAACAAAATTTAAAAATTACTGTTTTTTTTATTATCATCATATTAATATAATAATAAATTTAAATTTAATAATTATATTAATAATTCCAATTAAAATCTATTATTAGGACACAATAATATTTTAAAAATTTATCAGATTTTGTCAATGCTTTGAAATTGTTTTACAGACTAAATTGATAAAATGTATTTGAGTCAATAGGATTTTACAGCAGTTATTTTTTTTTCATTTTATTATTGTTGTGAGTGAAAACGTTTAATTTAAGAATCTATGGTTACCTTATTTTCTATTAATAACAATTATTTTTTCGATGATTATCAAACTGTAATGTTATTATGTTAATGAATTGAAGGAATAGAAATGTAATCGGGTTGAGCGGAAATCGCTGTGATTCAATTGTGTGTGAATATTGGGTTTTAAATGGGTAAACAGATAATGGCGAATTGAATTTACTTGGGGTGAGGACGATGGTGCAGACAGTTTGTTTTGTTGGTGGTCGGCAAATAGATTTGTCACGGTTTCTCTCTCGAGTGGATATTCCCGAATGAAGGGGGCTTGAATAACTCAGAGCCTAGTTCCCACACGATCCCTGTGTATCGCCGAGGGGCTTTAACTAGTCGGATGGGGTGGCAGAGAGGGTGTGGTGTAGAGACCTCCGACGAGAAAATGAGGATGAATGAAGAGCGAAGAGAAAAGGGAAAATAAAACATATTGTTGTGTTGTGGGTACTTAGGGAAGTGTGGCTTATCAATTAGTGTTTGCTCCCCCTCTTCACGCGCGGACCATCGATGTGCATGGTTTGCGTAATGAATTGTCGTAAGTGTCAACGACACAAACACGATAATTTCACGCTCTTTTCACCGATCGCAGAACCTTCGACACCTCATTACCGATTTTCCGCACGCCAATGACAAGAGTTCCTTTTGTTTTTCGTCCTGGCAACGCACGTCGCATATTATTTTACTATTTATAATTAGTTCGTCGTTGTTGTTGTTGTCGTTGTTTTTTTGACAATTCAATTATCCGGCAAGGATTCGTTAAATAAGCCATGGCTGACGGCGACGCGGAAGTAGTGCGTAACTTTGTCTTTATACTTTCATGCCTTTCTAACGTGACTTCACTTTTCAGCCTGAAGTGTCGCCGAATAATGAAGAGTCTGAGAAGAAGGTCGTTGCGGAGGATACCGAAGAGAAAAAAGAGGAGCTTGACGGCCATGAGATTACAGCAGCGGCAAGCATGCAGAGTTTATTGGATCAAGTGGTAGATCGACCGACAAACGCCGATGATGAGGAGGCCAAACTATTGGAGGCCGTTAGCGAGTATGCAGTTAAAGAAGTTAATATTGAAGAACCAGGCGAAGATGGTGAACAGGAGGATGGTCAACAGGACGTTGATCATAAAGGTAATCGACTTTAATTCACAATATAATTATGCAAATTGAACATTACCAACCAAACCTTATCCTTAGACTTTGATTCTTTTTACATCAATTTAAAAAAAAAAATAAATCAAACTAATATTGTATAAAATGCAATGAACTTGTTTTATACATTTCTTGGTAACTTGTTCAAGTACTTCTATACGCTGTTGCACATACTTGTCAAAAATCTTGGAGCATATACAATAGATCAGCGGTTCCCAAAATTTTGTATATTGCGACCTTCTTTTTAGAAACCCACTTTATCCTATTTTTAGTTTATAATTTTGTCATATCTTATGAATTTTTATTTTTAAATAATAAAAATCTAAATTCGCGACCCAGATTATTAGAAAAAATATCTTTTAAAATAGCAAATATTTTGATAAAAACGTAGCGAAACATTTATTAATATTTTATAATCAAATAATTAATTCTTAAATTGTGGAAATGTGAGTGTAAATATTATTAGTAAGTTTTAGTAAAGTTATATAATAAATTTAATTATCGATTTCAAGGAGGGTCCCCAAAAAAGGCCGCGGGCACCATGGCGCCTGCCGTCTAATTTATGTATACCTGCCGCTGTACCACAAAGCAAAAGATTACCCGTGTTAACTTGGAAAAAATCCCCTTAATTTAGCTTATAAACATGTAATTAACTATAAGTTCAATAATAATTGAATTGTTTAGATGACCAGGCCTATTCGAGCGTACAGGTTGTAGTCAGCGGTTTCGATCTGGCCATGGACGATGATGAGGAGATCGTCGAGGAAGAGATCGAAGAGTCGGAGCCATCACTGCCGACGCCTCTGGACCGCTTCCCGTATTACGAAAGATATTTGGATGCAATGAAGGAGTACGGTGTCATCAAGAGAGTGAACAACTTTTACCATAAAAAGATGGCCGAGTACTTCAAGAAACGCAAGATGGAACACGTTATGCGTGAGAGTGAACATCCGGAGGAGGTGTATATGAAGTACGCGAAGAAATTGGACAACTTCTACGATCTGATATCGCGGGACAAGGAGCAAAGGGGAGCAATCAACAGGGAGATGAGTAATATGAAGGCGGTGCGAGACGAGAGGTGCAGCAACGCTTTCGAGGACTTCAAAGGAATGATGCTGCGCGAGAAGGAGATTGGATCGGGCTTGATTTACACGAAAACTGGAAAGGAAATTCCGGATAAGGTTTAAATCCCGATTCGAGAATTTGTGATTATTGTATGATTATTTGCATATCTGGCTTACAGGCTTTGGATAAAATGATCAACATTCAGAGGGATAAGGCTGCCGAATTGCAGGAACTGCGGCTCACGCACATCAAGATTAGAAACGCCGTGACAGATAAACATGCAGCCATTAGGGCCATGGATAGGATCGGAGATAATTACACGCTGATGGAGTTTGAGCAGTTGAAGATGGAGAACCAGGGTCATGCGGATAAGATCGAGGAAAGGGATGAGGAACTATCGCAGCTGAGGAAGAAGTGTAACGGAGCCATGCAATGTTTGGCGCACGTTCGCGAAAAGTGCTCGGCCGTCGAGATCAAGACCAAAATCTACAAAAGCAATTTTGATGACAAAGAGAATGACCGAATAAAGGTATTAATATAGTTTTAATTCAAAAGATCAATACTAACCTTCTTGATATGATGCATGCATTAAAAAAAGTTATATTTTTAAGCAAACATTTTGAATTTTCATTTTTATTTATAAATACACAATATTTTACTTTCGTAAGCTGTAATATGTCTTTTCATTGTATTAACACATAAAAGCCGTTTTAAATCAGATGAATTTTGCTCAATGAAAAATATACATATTACAAATAATTGGTAATTTATTGTTGATTTTATAAATCTTTTCAAGTATTTTTCACGTATATACCCACATTTTTTGATATTATCTGACTATAGAAATGCCTTGCATACATTGTATATCTATTTCAAAGTAAAATATTAAAACAACATATTTTTTTAATTAGGCTAGGGAAATGGTGAACGTATTTAAATTGCAGCGTGATAACTACCGAAACGAAACGCAACGAATGAAAGAGGAGTCGGGTCTCTTAACCAAAGACAAGCTTCTAAATGACATGGAGAGATCAATGGAGGAAATTAAAAGCTTGGAAGAGCTGCTGGCGAACGAATCGAAGCGATTCGAGAAACTTAAGAGAATGAACGAGCAAGTGAAGAAGAGCTACGAGAGGGAGACGAAGAAAGTTAAGTGCATGATTGCTTTCGCCGCCGTACGCAAAGAATCCGCCAAGAAACGCGGAATGAAAAAGAAAAATAGGAACCTGTCAGTCGATCAACGCCTGAGCAAAGTGATGAGCAAGCAGTTCTTCATCAAGATCGACGATTTTTGAGTAGGCGGTTATTCCGTCAATATTTTTTATTTTTATTTTTTTTTACCGCATAATAAATGTCAAAATAAGTCTCTCAATTTTATATTGTCATTCGTTGGGGTTAGGTTTCTGTGGGGTTTGGGTATGGCTTTGGAGACGAAAACGTCCTCTCATAGGCAAATCAATGAATCCGGTAGTAGAAATATGGTGGAAGGAAACGGGGAGACCGAATTTGTGAAAGTGGATGGGCATGAGGGTGAAGAATCGACGAGGACGTCTTCAAATGTGATTAATCAAAAGGAAACTAATGTTTTGGAACATGGCAATGAAGAGGTTGATTCGAAAACGAAAAACGAGGTTGATGCAGAAACGCTTGTGCAGGAGAAGAGTGTGAAAGAGATATCGACTGATAATGCGGCATTGAGCAAAATCGATGCAATTAAGGAACCATCCGTAGCTACGATTGGATCTGAAGTATTGCAGGTGGATGATGAAGAGACTGAGAATTTGGAAGTTGCTATAAATGAAGAGCATTCCGTGGAAAAACAAGAGAGCGAGTATCAAGGTGAAGGAACAAATCGAAGGAGTACCGGTTAATTACTAGTAATATTCGAATTTTCAGAGATAGATGTTACCTTTAGTTTGCTTATCAAAGAAGAGGAAGAAGTCGTGGAGGAGGAGTGCTTTGAAGAAGAGGAGGCTACTCCGGTTATCCTCGACAGGGAACCCTATTACCCTATTTTCCAGAAATCGATTAAGGATTATGGCACAGTTAAACGTTTGAATCAATATCTTCAACATAAATTGTCCGTGTATTTCATTAAACGCGAAGTAAGTTTACATTATTATTATCAATTTTACTTATTCTTAAATCAAAATCTGTATAAAATACTGTTTAAATAATTTTATATAAAATTAAATTATATACAATTTAAAAGATGCAAAACGGATTAAATAAATGCTAGCCACAATAATAAATACAGTTTATAAAATTTAACAACTTTGATGAGACCTTACAAATAAATTAACTTCTATGTTTTATTCGGCTTTAGATGACTCATATACTGAAGGAGAGTGAGCACTACGCCGAAAACTCACTTAAGTACAAGATGAAATTGGATCAGTTCCATGATTTGATAAACCGCGACCGTGAGGAACGGCAGAAGGTGACCCAAGAGAACAAAGAGCTTAAGGAGTTAAGAGATAGGTTAAAAATGGAATCCGCAGAAAATTACGCGAGTCTGCAACAGAGGGAGCGCGAAACCGGTACCGGTTTAATATTCACCAAAACTGGGAAGGAGATGAGTGAAAAGGTCAAAATTCAGTTTGTTTGTAAATACGTGATTGTTTGTTATTGAAATTTTGAGTAGATGTTAAGGCAGTGTCTGAGCAATCAGCATGATAAGGCGATGGAATTGCAGCAGCTGCGATTGCAACACGTAAAGATAAGGAACGCGAGCGCTGATTTGCAGACAACATTGAGGGCGATGGACAGGATAGGAGACAAGTACACGCTCGTTGAGTTTGAACAGCTGAAGATGGAGAATCGTACCCATCTGGACAAGGTCGAGGAGAGAGACGAAGAGCTTTCCAAGTTACGGAAGAGATGCCACATGGCCAATCAGGGTTTGGCACACATCCGCGAAAAGTGTTCTGCGATAGAGATCCAAATAAGAAAATTGAGCACCACGCTGACGGATTGCGAGGATTTACGAATCAGGGCAAGGGAGGAGGTGAATCAGCTAAAGCAACGCAGGGATTATTACCGTAATGAAACGCACAGATTGAAGCTGAGTTCCGGTTTGCTAACCAAAGACAAGCTGCTCTTAGACATGGAGAATACCATCAAAGAAATCAAGAGCTTGGAGATAGAGATGCAGCAAAAGAACTCGCTGTTCGTGAAGCTGGAGAACAAGGTGAAGAACATGAAGAGCGCGTTCGAAAAAGAGAGCAAGAAACCGAAGTACAAAAGACAGTTATCGAGTTTGCCTAAAAAACGGGGGATACGTTTAGCTCTTCGCTAATCGGCACTTGTATACCAATGATTGAGCGCGCAGTCGGTCACAGATTGATGAACGACCTGAGAGCGCATCACGCTGTTATATTCCACAGTCAGAACCATATTTTAATTACGCTGCTATTTGTAAGGTTTTGGTGTCTGTGCCGAAGCCATTCAGTTCTTATTCCATTTATATTCATTCGAGGAACGCGCAATAAACAAGGGTTTTGTGCTCGACACCCTTTTTCCTCAGTCCTTTCCAACAAGCCAACGACCACAGCAGTAATAGCAACAACAACAGCAGAAGCACGAGATGCAGAATGCCAAGAACATACAGATTCCACCATCGGCTGACGAGAGGACTTTCCTCATACCGAACCAAACGAAAGGTACGTATGTGCGTTGTTGTTATTGAAGATAACCTGTGGAATCGACAGATAAGATTAGAATGGAAATCCGACCACTTGACCTTACGTTACGCGTGGATCCGTTTAATTCCATCCATTCCACATAAAGAGTATATTTATTTATGTATTTATTGGCGACAAAATCTGGGAAGAGATCGATGTTAATCACTTCAAAAATGCGATGAATTGATTGCACAAACACGAAGCTCTAATTGATCCCGGAATGCAACATCCATCACCCATCCGATATCATCATCGTCGCTGTTTTATTTGATTTATTCACCTTGGCAAGCCGATCCATAACTCCTCAAATCGTTCGGAATTTATTTAAAAAAAAAACAGCAAAGACATAACACGCTCCTAATTGCAATTCAATCGGCGTGATTGTGCAACGAAACATTAATTTTTTTCCGCTTCGTTTATCCTCCTCCAAAAAGGAAGCTCCACGGAATGAACGCAGAATTCTTATTAGTCTCCGACACTCAATTTCGGCGTGACGCCTTGGCCTATATATACAAACATACACATATTTATATATATATAAACATATACGGTGATGGATTTATTTGTTATTTTTTTTCTTCTACCTCGATTGTTTGCGCAAATATTGATCTTCGCGGAATTCAAATATATATGTTGAATCGTGAGGCTCGTGCTGCTGCTAGGCGACACCCGTCTCTGTGATTTCTTTTTCTTCTTCGCGTGCACATCACATTTTTTTTTGGTGATGATTTGACGAAAAACTTATTTGAAATTAGAAGGAAAAAATGCGGATTTGTCCGGTTTCGGCGTTGATCTCGTGCGATAAGATATCATTGTTCTCTATTGGATTTCGACTCTATGTCTTGTCTAATCTTTGCCAACAATTCGCTACTTACTTTAATGGATATTGTCTTAATTATTATCAAGTGTGTAGCTTTACGTATGCCGCTGGGTCAGCTGATGTAAATTACGGACTTATCACTTCGTTACGTGCATTACCGAACACCCGATAACAGTTCGATGCCGAGCAGTTATGTAAACAGCATAAAAATGCATTCCTCATTTTATTTTAATTACACTTAGTATTTAATATCTAAACACATCCCCCTCCCACGAATGAAAGAAAAACTTTCCAGATACGTCAATAACCACTTAATTATTTTTACTCCTCTCATCTTTTGTTTGTTTTGAACGTTCGTACGATTATTTATGTTTTCCATGTAAAATTCCATATTTATTAACAACTTTTAATTTATACAAAGCTAAGTCTCAAGTGTTGCAGCTATATGAGTAACAATTACGTTTAAACACAATGCATTATATTTGTATATACTTTACAAAATTGACTGAACTATTAGCTTCGACTAATCAGCTTCCGACAGAATTGTGAGAGTATTTTTAAGAATCTATATTAAATCTAATGTATGCTGCGTGCTGAAGTGATTAGAGAATACTTCCATAACGTTTCCGTTAATATTGTAGATAAAAATAGCATTTGATTGCTGGAGAAAACAAAAGAAATGGGTGCAAAGACCTGGGAATATTCGAAAGTTCTTGGACTATCGATATTAAATATTGAATAAAAAAATTGTAGAGTACAGTAAAATGAATGCAGTCTTTGTGTTGTTTCGTTTTGCTTAATTGCATTTTTAAATGCAACCTTTTATTTTGTGCTGTAAAAACCCGCATTTGAATGGTTCGGGTAATCCCCGAATTATTTTCGAAGGAAACTCGCAAATTAATTACATTTCAATTCTATTTTGTCCTTCCGATTTGTTACGTGACTTGAGTTTTAATTTTAAGTCATTCAACTTTGACATTTGACATTTTATATCACAATTTCACAAATATGCTGTTACGAAGTGCAATGATTCTGGGTTACGCCAGATCAAGAGAAGTCTAATTACTTGAAATTTATGTAACCATATATATAATATACTTCGCAAAGAAAAAAATCAAAGTCGTGAAATACATTTGAATTTATAATCACTATTTAGACTGCATACACTTCTGAGGGCGGTTGGTGAAGTGAATATCAATTTGTCAATGCCACTGTATAATTTGCGCTGATATTTCTTAAAGGAGAGCTTTAATGTAATAAAGATTATTTTTTCTATATTCTGGGAAAGACAGACAATAAGCTAATAAATAATGTAATTAAGTTAAGTAAATTGGGACATCATATACTGAAATACCTAACATAGTACGGGTAATCGGTTCGGCCAATATCCCGTATTTTTTCAAACCGGACTAATAGAGAAACTAAATACAATGGAACCTCGCTTAACCTCGTTTAATCCGTTCCAAAATTTCGGGATTATTACTCGTATAGTGAAATACTAGAATAGTGAAACATATTGAAAAATGCACATAATATGTGATGTGTACACTGGTTTTAAAAATGATGTAGAGACTTTTCTTCTCATCGTCACTAGTTATGCGAAACGTCGCTCGTTAAGCAAGTCATTTTTTTTACAATTCATTTTGATCGATAATTTCGCTCGTTATGCGAGGTGCTCGAACCTCGAGGTGTGAGGTTCCACTGTATAGTAATACCGAGCATAATCCAAGTTTGTTTTGAAATTTTTGAAACGGATAGTTAATCCGGACTGATTGAAGCACTATTGATGTATTTGTAATCCCAAGGACCACTACCATGACAAAAATTGCAAATATATTCAAATTGTTCAGTGGTCCAGGGACCACCGGTTTGCGACCGCTGCTATATAATAATTCACTGATAATTTTGACTTCTTTCATATATTAATAAAATATCTATTTATTTACGCATCATTTATGATAAATTTACTGAAACGCATATTTTTATAACCTCCAAGTTATTATGTGATGACATTTAGTGCTGCGTCATCTGCAACTATTGTCTGCGTTGATGTTTATAGATCGGACGTATCTGATAAGATAAAGTCCAAGTACAAATTATTGGCATAATTTGAACGAAATTGATTATTATCCGCTAATATTTGCAATATTTTATCAAAAACTTGCTAGATCTCTAGAAATTTGTATTATGTTGTTTTATTATGAAAGAATTTTAACGTGTTATGTTTTTTTTATTAGTTCTAGATATAGGATACAATAAATATTGTCAGTGGCGGATCTGATGATATCGCACAGGCGCAGAAAGCGCTGACGTGACGTCCTCTTATATCAAGGGGACCTCAATCTTAAAATGGGCCTACGACTTTAATGCAGCCCTACAAAAACCAATCAATACTTTTTTGACTAAAAAAATGGAAATATTTAGAGGTGAGCCTCACAATTAAGTTACGTCTCTAAAGTGCTAAATCCGCAACTGAATGTTGTGTAGCCTTCTTATTTCGTGGGCCCATGAGATTCTCAAAGAACTAGTTGTTTTTTAAATAAATTCTGATTTTAAAATGATGACGGTAGAATCTAGAAACAATGAATGAATTTCTTGTAAATGTGAAACAAACTCGCATCAAAAACAATAATTGCGATTTTTTCAATGCAAGCTGTTTTTTTTTCTTATTACTGATAACGTTTACAGAATTCTCTTTTTTTTTCGCTCGTGCGATTTTCACGGAAATAAATTGATTTTATTGCGTAATAAAATAAACTGCTCTTGCTCTTTGTCAACTTGAGAAATACCGTTATAATTTTGGTATTTTTTTATATTGACCTTTTGTACATTATATTATGATTTCCTGATATGATTACACGATACTCGATAAGCGGGCGACGGTCAATTGGTCGATAGTCAAATGAACGATATAGTAATGAATCAAATTTGAAATGTAAATAAAAAGAACTAACCAATTACATTCTTATGATAATAATTTAAGGGCGAAAAGACCTCAGTCTTAAATAAAATAATAATAATTTATTATCAAAAAAAAATAAATAACATAAAACAGTATAATAAAGTAATTTGTTCATGCTTTAGCTCCACAACGGATGACAAAAATAATATTTTTATTTAAGAATTTTGCAAAAAATGCTAGATTACGATAAGCAAAATATAATAGAATATTTACATAGATTTTTGTACAACTGCAATATGAATTCATATTACATTTTTGTGTGTTGTATTTCAAATTAATTATAAATTCTCTGTCTTTGTCGTTGTCTCTCCAACGTCAAGAGCTCTTTGGTTATATGTATTTAATGTTTATTTATGTATAATTGTTGTTTTGTCTAAATTGTCGCCCAGTTGGTGTGTCCAGCATACCAAATGTGTAGAAGCGTTTGGTCGAGAAGCTAAACGACTCTAAAAACTCGACCATAATAAGACAATTACAATTACAAGTAGGAATAATAGGAGACAAACGAACCAGATAGAGGAGGCGCACCACCAACCTAGGCGGTATATATGTTAAGTTTAGTTTGCATCAAAGCAAGTTACATTTTAAGTTATAAATAATTGGGTCTATAAGCAAATATGTTGGGCATGGAAAAAAGGTTGAGAATCGCTGATTTATATATTATGTTAGTTAGGACAAGACTGTATTTATTTGCTAATTTTAATTAATTCTAATTGATTAGTGTGTATATTAATATACACTAGTACCAGTACTTGTTCAAGTAATTTGAGTACAAGATACTGGATAAATACTTATTAATTTTGTAAGATTTGTAGCGTATGCTACTTACTATAAAATGTATTTATATCTATAGTTTTATACAAAATTATGTAGTTATGCCAATTACTTGATGTCGTGACATCTGTTACTTAACTTTCACAGTTTGTACCTAATGCTTATAATTGACTGCAATTGTATAGCAAATGGAGTGCATATATATAATTACTTGGTGCATACAATTCAATTTACTTTTACTTGTCAACCGCATTCGGTAAAGTAGTTAATGTTAAAGTTTTCATTTACAAAATACTACAGTACAGTTTGAAATTCTCAAAACAATCTAAATTATAATTGAGCAAAATAAAAATAAGTTCTAAAAAATAGTAAAACAAAATTATTTATTATTGTATTTCTACTATTAATCAAGTGCATTTCACTGATAATTGCAACTTAATTGATTCCGCGTAATATGAATGAAATTTGCTTTTGACAGCAGCTCTACAATTAGTCGAATACAATTTACTGGTATTTGACAATTAAGTATTAATTCGTACATCAAAGCGAATTTATCGATGATCTTAAGACAGTTTACTATATGAGAAAGCTTTTTCCAAAACTCTTTGATGGTAAAGTTAGCGTTAGCTTTTTTCATCAAGTCTTGCAAATACCTTGAATTGCGATCAAGGTATTTATCAATGATTTGTGCAGCTGTATTGGAATTCCTACTGCGAGCAGGTTTGTAGACAATGTTTTGACAGTAATTGTATAATTATAGGAAAAAGACAATGTTTGAATAGTAATTGTATAATTATAGAAAAGAAGCAATCTTTGACACTACCTGCACTAGCATTCGATTACTATATGCTTGTTAATTACATCAGACAGCAATGTGAGTATGAAACTGAATACAGCACTTGTTCAAGATCTGCTTTAGATAACTTGTTTCAACTTCTTTTTTTTCTTCTAAACATTTCTTTCTATTTATATCGTTCCATTTTTCTTTATTCTGGATACATGTGATATTGCAATATCACCGAGTATTAAGTTAGACTAGTCGCGATTGTAAACGGGTATTCAAATTATCCTCATTCAAAGTTCATTCAAGTGTTTCCCTTCTCATAGAAACGAATGCATTGGTAGTATTTTTACTAAATGCAATTATAATTGTGGTGTAATGGCTTAGCGGGAAAAAGAAATGCGTTATCCGAGAGTCAAGGGCACGGCGGAAACGCTTCAACGTGCTCCAACTTTCTTGCGAAACGATCGCTCCATTCTACGACCTTTTTTTTTTTCAGTATATCGATTATCACGCAAACCTTGCCACACAGTTGCACTTGTGTTTTTGTTTTTCGGTTGTTTTGCTTTAGCCAAAATTCTATACAAAGTAGATCGATCGATGATAATGCACTCTGGAGGTGTGTTTTCGCGTTTGCTTCTAATTCATTATTTGTTAGTTCTCTCATTCTTAAAAAAAACTACATCTAATCTTTGGTATTGATTGTTTAGTGGAATTTCACGTGTAAAATTCCGTTCTGTCGTCTTTATCGAACTGATTGTTATCAATTGAATGAAATTGTACATTTAGTTTTTTTATAATCAAATTACCATTCAACTTGGATTTTCGATGATTGTATAATATTAATAACAACACATTCAACGGATTCTAAAAAACCTGTCAAGTTTAGATTAAGCGATTTTAAGGTATTTCGGTGGATTAACGTCAATTTTGTTCTTGATAAAATGGACGTTAATCGATAGATATTAGTTGTGGATTTATTTTTTTTTATAAATCATTGTTTTATTTCTGTTATTTCAGTATTGTATTCAAATTGGATCATTTCACTAATTTTCTTTGTTTACTTGAATATACTTTGTCCAATAGATTATAGATATTTAATATTTTCGAATCGAATCTTTGGAGAAACTTATGATTACGATATTTAAAATAAAATCATTGAATTCCCATTTTTGTATAATCATCTATTTAATGTTATACCTAATTATCAAATTTATGTCAAAATATTGAAGTGTCTCTTAATTGTTTTTGAAAAAGTATATAAAAAATATGTTTGCAAATTTTAAGTTTTACTTACTGGATTTGCAGATTTAACACGACTTTACTGTTTAATATAAAATTTGTGGTATATTCTTCATGTAATATGTGCAAATTAACAAAAGTTGTAAAACATATAGGATTAATGTTAAACAGTAACTTTTGTGTTCATTTCGATGATTAAATTAAAAACAATATCGAGCAGCATCTAATTTGATTGAATTCACTATTGAACGCAGGTTAAAAAAGAACCCAATTAAATCGTTGTGGTAATGCCACAATTTAAAGGTTATGTAAATGTCAATTATAATAAAAAGATAATTTTATAGGTTAGGTTACAAAATGATAATTATGTGTTGAAATATATACATTTTAGAAGTTTGTTTTAGTTTCACAGTGTAGTTAGAATTAATTTTTAGTTGGGTTGTTATTGTCATTACATTATTTTTGTAGTTAGATTTCCGATGAGAAGTCGTTCCGCTCTTTTTTGTTTGTTTTTGTTTTCTTTTTGTGGCAGATTGTGAATGATTAAAAGTAAAAAAAAGTTTGTTTTAATAATAAATTAAAGTGTTGACACTTTTAAAAAATGAAAATGAATCCCTGGTTTATAGTAAAATAGCACAAGCGGATTGAATATTGTTTCTAGAAACCAGTAACCGACAAATATAATCTAGCGTTAAATACTTATGATTACAACTGAAACTACTCCAAATTCATCGATGAAAGTGTTTTTTTTTATGTATTAAGATTCAATTTCCGTTAAAATTTCTCTCTCCTTCCCTCATGCTCTTATCATTTTATAAATACACAGTTTTCATCTTAAAAGTTTTCTTTCTCTCGCACGATTATTAATAGACGGTCGATGGTATCGCATGTTTTTTGGTTGGGAGTTGTTCGTTATCAAATAACTCTACATGAATATAATATAAACTTAAAAAAAAAAATCAGTCAAATAAAATTAAAAAAACAGCTTCAAACCACAATGAAAATCCCCGTGCATATAAACATTTCGCAATTCGTTTCAAGAATTACCTGCCAAGCAGAAAATAAAAAGAAACATCGCTCTGAAATTCCCATTGTTTATCGTATATATTTTTGTAGTATAATTATTATGTATTCATGATCGCAATCGTTTTATCTTGATAAATTTTTTCCTCTTTTAAAAAATCATTTTATCTGCGAGTTTGCACTTGTTTGTCGTTCAATAATCCATGGGAACATATCAAATCTGCAATGTGATATTGATTTTTGGAAAAAACAGGAACAGCAACAGCAATGATAAAATCGAAATTTTAATTGGTTTTTGCTTTCAGTTTTTTTTTGTAATAATTCGCGAAAACGGGGATTGTGCAAAAGTAAGCGATTATCGCGACGATGATCGTGCGCTTATTCGAGAGGCTTAAGTAAATTTAAAGAAACTTAAACGGATTTGGGTTGTTTTCAACCAAAAGGTTTATCTGTGCGTAAACAGTGAACTTTTGTTTTTGGTCGCTTGTTATTCAACGTTAATTTAAGGATATTGTGGTGAAACGTGCCGTTCGTTTCTAGTTATTTCTCCAATTAAGTGTTTAAAAATATATGTGGATTATCTATTTGTGTTACGTTAAAAATTTCATTCAATTTTAAGGAATAGCATAGAAATTTGTTTGTCAACAATTCACTGATTTTGCGATTAAAATATATTTGCTATAATATAAATATTTTTTTTCAATGCATTATCAAGGAATATTTTTTTTTGGGATCGGAGATTTAGTTTAGCTATTATGACTGTAGCTAATTGAATTTTCGCGTAAATAGCATTGATTCGCTGATACGTTATCACCAGTAGTATGTCTTTTATTTTTCAGCAAATGAAACTCATAAAAAAAATAGAAAATCAAAATGTTGATAAATATGATCAAATCGAAATATATATTTATTGAAAAAAAAATTAAGTTCTTTAAATTCCGATTGAAAAAATAAACTTAGACACAGTTTTGAAAGAAAAGAAAATAAAATTTTAAAATGTCTCAGAAAAAAAATACGAAAAAAACTGTCACAACAAACCAAAAAATTTTTATACATCGAGGAAACTAAAGGAAATGCACTTCTTTGGATCCCACTCCTAATATCGTTGCTATGAAGAAACAATATATTTGAGATTGAAAAAAAAAGAAGAGAAAAACAACCGCTTAGACACAGAGATCACTTCTTCTTTCTGGCTTCCGTTATCTAATCTTGACTTTTTACTCTCACTTGCTCGGTATTTAGTGAAACTAGTTCTTCTGGTCTACGAGATGGAGAGGCAAGAACAAATAGAATAGAATATACGCATATCAATGTGTCCTTTCTCTCTTTCGATTTTCTGGTCTCCGTGAGATATCATCGTGTGTGAGCCGTGCATTTCAATTTTTTTTTCCATCTCGTTGTCTCCCCGAACAGTACAGGAGTGGAAACCGACTGATCTACTACTACTACACTAGTACCTGAGGGACTTGAAGTTATAAAAGTGAACACACTGTACTAGACCATCGCATTCAGAGACCTGTCGCGGGCGCGCACATACATAACTACATATACAAAAAAAACGAACACATACAACTCTGCCCGCCGCGACGCACGAATAGTTTCATTTCTATTCTTATTTTCTTTTTTTCTTTTCTTTCTTTTTTTTCGATTCATAATAAAAAGAAGAAACCTCACCGACTGTGATAATTTCAATACATTATAAGAAGAGTAAACAGAGAACAAAGAAATAGTATTAGTATATAATAGAAGCTTGTGATACAACCGGAGAAACAAACGAAGCATCAACCTATGATACTACCAGGACGCCTGATTTAAGTAGCAAACATGCTGACCGGCTGGAGATTAACGCTTTCAAAATGTAAGTCCAAATCGAATAATTGTCTTTAATTAAAAGAAAAATCAATTTTAAAACCTAAATTATTATCGATAATCCTTGGATTAACTATAGTTGATATGTTTTCATAAAAAGAAAACGATGAATTTAATGAATTAATTTATTTATTTGCAAAACAAAAGTTTTTATTACTAATTAAGTATGTTTAAGTATACATTTATTTCAAGAACAAGATCAAAGTAACTATAAATTTCGATTGTTTTACGAGTGTATAAAGTTTATTAAAACTCGTATTCACCGATAACAACTATCACCAAAGCTTTCTTCGCCATTCAACATTGGCATTTATGAAAATTGTGTTCTTTTTTTCGAAAACAACGAATAATATGTTATTTACATGATAGTATTTCGCGACAAAGTATCAATATAAATCGAGTCAATTTTACCGGGCATACCTTGAATAGTTGCAGTCAAGTAACGCTCGATTCATGTTCGACAATTTCAATGTCAAAAGTGACATTACTCGCGTCCAATAGCGAAAACAAAGCAGCAAGTGCACGCGTGCCTACTGAATATGGTTAAGTTATAACAGTTACCATAGTTACTGTTATTAAAGCACCTAATTTTGAGCGGTCACTTATTTTCATAATTTAAAACTTTTGTTGTTTTTTTAAGAATTACGTCAATTAGAAAACTTATAATAAAAAATTATACGTTTCACTGTTTTTAGTTTGTTTTCGTTTCTCATTTATTCTTATTATTAGGAGTAGTATTGCGCAAATGCCGAACAATAGCTTAATCATATGACTATGTTTTTTTCTAAATACAAGTAAATACACTGTGGTTATAGACCTCACAGAGAGAGTGAGAGTGTCTCCAAACATGTGCAATTTACCGTTTCCTGCATTTGTTGAAACGTTCTTCAAACATAACGAAAAGAAAAGCGTAACCGTACAAGAAGGAATGTATTCAGCGCGTTATCAAGAACACGCACTTCAAAGTTACATTCAATTCGCGTGAATTTTAACGAAGAAAAAAGAGAGCAAAATAAAAGTGGCAACAAGTGTCTGATAACTTGTTTAGATCGATTGATAACGTTCACACTTGAGTTGCATTGTTTCAGATTGTTTATCTGTGCAGCAGAAACACATAATTCGTCTCGTGCATCTTAAGGATGAATGCATTCAGCGTATCGCAATGTAAATAGCGTAATTCTATAGTGTATCTGTTTTTACTTTATACATTGCTAATTAATCAGAATTAGCTAGCGTTAATTGGTTTTCATTAGCGGTATTCCAGTTGGAGTTGGCTCAAAACAATTGATAATTAAATATTGGCATGTCAACGGTTGGGAGGGAGGTGTGATCAAAATGAGCCTTGAATGTGGATGCGTTTTTAATTGTATAAAAACCAATTTTCTAATGTGCCAAACGTTGAAGGTGTAACAGGAAATACGACGAACATAAATGAGTGGAATGAAAAGCGCTGCACAGCCACATGTATAATGGCCATGAAAATGAATTGGTATTGGTTAGGTCAAGTTAGGTATGCTCTTATTGACTTATTGTTATTACCGTATGGTCATGGTGAGGAAGTCCAGTGGAATCGACCTTTTTTTATGTAAATGCATATTCCGATATACACTCTTTTTTTTTAAATATATAAATATATATAAGAAATTAATTAGCTTTTTGCGTTTGCATGAAAGGAGAACGTGGTACAAATAATTTATATTCAAAACAAATACAAATAAAAAGTTTATTCAATTATCTATGAAAATTAAAAAATAGAACAAAATAATAATAAAAAGTAAATTACATAAAATAACGTGGTAATGAATATGACCTAGTAGGAATCAAGAAAAAAATGCAATATGTTTTGGATGTTATTTAGATTAATTTCAAAATAAATCCAGAAAGTGAAATCAGTTTTTAAATACGAGTTACAAGAATTGGAGATGAATGATATAGTGAATCGAAATAATAATCTAGTTACACTAGTTGTAAATTTATGGAAATACATTACATTTTTTTTCGGTGCTTAAGCACCAACCACCGTTTTATATTACGTTGCACGATGGAAAGTAGTAAATATATATTGATATTATATATTGTAACATGTGATGACTTGTTACTCTAACTTTATTTGCAAAATTGTTAACCATTTGGCGTTGTTGCAGGTTTCGTGATACCGCAAAGGTATATCGTAGGAATCATGGGATTTCTGGCGGTAGTCAATGCGTACACGATGCGAATCTGCTTGTCTATAGCGATTCTCGATATAGTGGAAGAAGAAGACCACAAATGGGATAGGGAGACACAAGGACTTGTCAAGAGCGCATTTTATTTCGGTTATGTTATAACTCATCTGCCGGGCGGAATACTCGCGGAGCGATTTGGCGGGAAGTACACGCTCGGTATTGGAATTTTGTCCACAGCGTTCTTTACCCTGTTAACACCAGTTGTGGTGGAATGGGGTGACTGGCCGGGGTTGCTCGTCCTCAGGATACTGCAAGGTCTCGGAGAGGTAAGAGGATATTGTCTTGAGAGCTGAATCAAATCGATTTAACACGAAATTGTTGTAGGGCACCACGTACCCGGCTCTAAATTCGCTTCTGTCTAAATGGGTTCCAATACACGAGCGGGCGAAAATGGGAACGCTGGTGTACGCGGGCGGTCAAATCGGAACGGTCGTCGGAAACACGGCCAGCGGATTCCTGATCAAGGCCGCTGGTACGTGGACATCAGTCTTTTACATGTTCGGCGGCATCGGCGTCCTCTGGTTCGTCCTTTGGACACTGCTCTGCTACTCCGAACCCAGCTCTCATCCTTTCATCTCCGATGATGAGAAGAATTTCTTGCGCAAGGAGCTCGGATCTAACGAACAAAAGAGTAACGTGCCAACGCCGTGGAAGGCAATCCTGACTTCGGTGCCGTTGTGGTCGCTTGTTGCTGCACAAATTGGCCACGACTGGGGCTTCTTCACGATGGTCACCGACCTTCCCAACTTCATGAGTGACGTGCTACATTTACAACTGGACCAGAACGGTATTTGGTCTTCTGTTCCTTATATTGTGATGTGGATCGTCTCCATGAGTTCCGGTTGGCTGTGCGACTGGCTCATCCAGAAGGACTTTATGAAGGTCACGTTTGCGAGGAAGTTCTTCACGGCCATCGCAGCCATCGGGCCGGGCATATTTATCGTGGTCGCCGCGTACGCCGGTAACGACCAGACGACGGTCATCGCCTTATTCACAGTTGGCATGGGTTTCATGGGCACGTTCTACTGCGGCATGAAAGTCAACGCCTTGGACCTTTCTCCGAATTATGCCGGCACACTTATGGCCATCGTCAATGGAATCGGCGCCATCACCGGCATCATCACTCCATACCTGAGCGGAGCTATGACACCAAACGTAAAGCAAATTCAACCTCGCACTAACCCCTCCAATCTATCTCATATTATGTATATTTGCAGCATGACGTAGAGGAGTGGAGGATCGTTTTCTGGGTCTCGTTTGTCGTCTTCACCTTAACCACATTCATCTATGTGATGTGGGGAAGCGCCGAGGAGCAGTGGTGGAACACCCCTGAGAAAGGAAATCCGAACGCCGCAGAGAAGGACCCCAAAGCCATGGTGGAATCCGGCAACGCCTCAACGACCAAATAACCTGTACCAGTCCATTCAACGCACCACACGCATATATTTTTATATATTTATTTATTCTTAAGTTTAAATGTACTATTATTCGAGAAAACGATAACATTTATCGATTTTTTATTTCAGTTTTGAATACGAATAAAACCACACCGCAATGCGGTCCATAACCATCGTTGTCTTTAATAATATGCAACCACTCAATCAACCCTATCTACCTAAACAACAACCCTATCTACGCAAACACGATCCAATTCGACTTTGACGTTTTACCACAATTCGAGTTAATTGAAATCAAGTTTGACGCTTTGTCAAATTAACGATGAGACGAAGAAAGAAGTGCTCGGTTATATCCTGCATTTCACCATGTGAGTATTACCATAAGTTTATGACTTCAATATCGTCGATGATTCTGTTAAGGCCATACGGCCCAATTGAGACATGTGCTGGCTGTGCTGATGCTCTTCGCCGTGATCATATTGTATAGCCAGAGGGTGGCGCTCAACATTGCAATAGTGGAGATGGTCGAGCAGCCTGCTAAAAAGAACAAAACTAGTTCGAACAGTTGTCCGTTGCCTGAAGGCGAAGAGTCCTCGGTCATTAAGGACATCGAAGTATTTTCCGATGGTTTCCAATGCTTGTTCATAGCTGAAGCTTTTACCCTCAGGGTGGTAAGATCAAGTGGGACGAGGCAGAGCAGAGCTACGTTTTGCTGTCCTTTTACATTGGTTATACGCTCGTCCAGCCACCAGCGGGCTTCATATGCGACAAGTACGGTGCCAAATTCATCCTGATCACTTGCGTTGCCCTATCCTCCGTTGCCACGCTCTGCATTCCCATCACCGTCATTTTGAAGATGTCTTGGTGGGTCCCCAGTCTACTTAGAATCGTTTCTGGAGCTGGTCAGGTTTGCACCTAAAGATTGCATCACTGCTACTAATTTTAATATTATCAAGCAACTGGAGATTACACCTATACTTTGCGGTTCCTTAAATTAACATTATATACTCAATATCGGACACTTAAGATAAATGTCTAAGGCCCGTTTCACTTTGAAAAAAAAAATGTATAGGGACCCAAATTAGATTAATCTTACCTTATACGTAGTAAATAGACACTAAATATCTAGATGTATTTCCACAATTATATATTATTTATATTTCTTCTTCAGGCCATCCTTTATCCTGCTATTACGACACTCTTGGCTAGGTGGGTACCACCGAACGAACGGGCGACATTGGGAGCGGTCGCCTATTCTGGTAACTCGATTGGTGTTATCGTAGGTACAACGGTGAGCGGACTAGCTATCAGTTACATGTCTAACTGGAGTATTGCCTTCTACATATGGGGTGCAGCCGGACTGCTGTGGGTACCTGCTTGCTGGATCTGGATTTACTCTGATCCCAACATAGATCCGAATATAACTACGGCGGAACTTTTGCTAATTTCCGAGTCTATTAATAAAAAGCAAAAGAGAGCTACGCCCCTAAGGGCCATATTGGCAGATCCTGCTGTATGGGCGCTCATTATTGGTCAGACAGGTCACAACTACATAATCTTCACGCTCATTACCAATTTACCCAAGTATATGAATAACGTTCTTAACTATAACACCAAATCAAATGCGTTTGCCTCGTCACTTCCATTCATCGCGCAGTATATCAGCAGCATTATCAGCGGAAAAATTGCCGATCGCATGATACGAAAGAACAATTTAAACATAGAATTGGTCAGGAAATTATATACAACCATATGTAATAGAATAATTGTTCGAATTATAAATTGGTAGACAACTGAAAATTATGTATTCCCATTTAGCTGGCGTTCTTCCTGCAATCTGCGTAGTTCTGGCCGGCTACAGCAATTGTGAAAGGACCTACGCACTGATCTGCTTCTCTCTGGCCCTTTTCTTCAAAGGACCATTTTACTGCTCGTTGAAGGTCAACGGCATGGACCTGACGACCAACTACGCCGGCGTCCTGATGTCACTCTCTAATGGCATCGGATCGATAGCCGGCGTCGCGACGCCCTACGTCATCGGAGTCATAGCACCAAATGTAAACAATCACTCAAACTTCAATCATTTTTACCAACTAATAAATAATCTCTCTCAATCTTGTAGAACACTTTGTCTGAGTGGCACATCGTCTTTTGGGTGGTATTCGGTATATCAGTAGGCACAACCATTGTATATGATATCTTAGGAAAAGGCAATCGCGCCAAATGGGATTACACTGCCGAAGAGCTGGAAGCTTTGGATAAAACTAAATATACGAAGAAATGGTACCTTCAAAAATCTCCTGAAGAACTGCAAATTGCTGCAGAAGCGGCTTTAAAAAGGAAACAGCAGCAGGAATCCACTTAATATTGTTAAGAACTTTATTCTTTTAGCATTAAATAATTTTAACTACATTCAACCATTACAATAATATAGGCTACCATATGTACATTAGTATTTCAACATTATGAAACTACAATAAACATTTATATCTATAATAATTAACAAATATCGATATATTAATACTTTTATTAAATATTACAAAGTAATAAATAATTATGATCAATTTTAATATATAATTTAATTAGGCAGCCCGTTCAACAATGCATAAGGAATTATCGACTATTGTATAGGTAATATTAGTAGGCGCAAGTAAACTTAGATTTACTTGGAAATATTTGTCTATAATTTAATTAGAATTGCGTAAATATACAAACAATATGCCGGTAATTATAAATAACTAAAAATTAATACATTTTTGTATGATTATCTGTATTTTTAGGCTCAATTACAGGGTTTCGAACATTTCATAATTGGTGGTGTTTTAACCACCTTATTTTTGGTTGGAATGTATTCACTACATCGAATAGAGGAGGGTCATGTTGGTGTATATTTTAGGGTAAATATACTATGATATATTTAATTGGACAGAGGTTACAGAAATTGTGTTTACAGGGTGGTGCTTTACTACCAATTACTAGCTCCCCAGGATACCACATGATGTTCCCATTGCTTACCACCTACAGATCGGTGCAAGTGACCCTGCAAACAGATGAAGTGAAGAATGTGCCTTGTGGGACAAGCAGTGGTGTCATGATTTATTTTGATAGAATAGAGGTTGTTAATTACATCCAACCAGCTAGTGGTAAATATAACACAGATTTATATGTATCAATAAATATCTATAACATGTTATTGTTACAGTTTATGACATTGTGAGGAATTACACTGCTGACTATGATAAAGCACTTATATTCAACAAAATCCACCATGAACTTAATCAATTCTGCAGTGTGCATTCCTTGCATGAAGTTTATATAGATTTGTTTGATCAAATCGACGAGAACCTTAAGCAAGCTTTGCAGATGGATTTACTGGAAATGGCCCCAGGTCTGTCCATACATGCAGTCAGAGTGACGAAACCAAAAATTCCAGAAGCTATACGGAAAAATTACGAGCTAATGGAATCCGAGAAAACGAAGTTGCTGATAAGCATGCAGCATCAAAAGGTAATTGTGTCGAAACTATAATGTTGATATATATCTATAGATCAATTGCTTATATTAAAGGTGGTCGAGAAAGATGCGGAAACGGAGAAGAAACGAGCGATTATAGAAGCTGAGAAGGAAGCGCAGGTCGCGAAGATCCAATATGAGCAGAAGGTTATGGAAAAGGAATCGTTGCAAAGGATTGCTGCTATCGAGGATGACATGCATTTGGCAAGGCAGAAGTCGCATTCTGATGCGGAGTTTTACAAACTGAAGCAGGAGGTAGAAATCAATGGAATGCTGCACACCAAGCAATACTTGGAGATCAAAAAGTACGAAGCGCTTGCGGCCAACAATAAGGTCTATTACGGTCCAGACATTCCGAAAATGTTTCTGAACGCTGGCTGCAGTAAAGGAGATGTAGCCCAGATTGATATATAGATTTGTTTTACTTGGTTCAGGAGATTTAGAGGAATCAACGTTTTTGTTTTAATTTTTAATTAATTATCGAATTTATTAAAAACAAGTAAACAGAAACAACACAATTTGAATTATTTGAAACATTCCTTAAAAATAGCATTATTAAAGATTGGGTTATCACTATATTATTTAATAAAACAAACAAGAACAATCTACACAAAAAATTACGTAATATTTTGCTGTCATTTGCAAGCAAGTTTTTTCGTCAGTTGATAGAATGCGAAGTAGTATTTGTCCATTACAGCATCTCTCAACATCCTTGAATACATACTGAACGATGCCAATCGTATTTCTTTTTTTGTATTGTATTCGGCTAAGAATTCGTAGAAATCGGATAAGATATGTGGCAAGGAACTGTATTCGCAAATTTTGATGGTGTCAATGACTTCGTCTTTATTACTTAAAAGATCCTGCTCCTTTTGCAGTTCTTGTGGCACCAAATGTTTGGAATATTCATAGATTATTTTGAAGAAGATAGCGAGAGAATCATTGAACCCACATGAGTTGGTTACCATGTGACTCAAAAAGTACTCCATATTATAGAAATCTGCTCGAAACCGCATACTGACAGAACTACCAGGATCGAACAAGATATTTCGAAACAAATTATCGACATAATTGATGTACATGTATCCAGAATACTTTTGGATTTGAAATGTCACCTTATGCTGGTTAATATCAATTATGCTTTCTATATCTTTGTATATCATGTTGTAGGTTGACGGGACTACATAACCATTTAGTATCAGCTGAATATTATGCAGTTTGCTCTGTAAATATATGTAGTAGTTGTATAAGTCCATGCGTAATCTGAGTAATGCTCTGTAGCGTACTGTATCATGGCAGGTTAAAAATATAACCATAAAGCTTTTCATTAATTTCAAATTTAGTTTGTTGCTGATTGTGTCCTCCACCATTGTATTTAACATATCCATTAAGTTATCGTTGTTGGAGAGTGTACACCAATTACCGTTATTTTGTACCACGTCGCCAATAGATACTTCATCAGAAGACAACTCTGCATATTCATCCTCTGATGATATGTCTGTAATTCCACAAGTTTGTGTCTCGCACTCCTGTTTGTCTGTTCGACTAGTAGTGTTAGAGGTTTCACCGACCAGAAGCTGCATGATTTTCTTCATCTTCTCGGGATCCAACTTTAGACTTAAATTGATTCCGTCATCTGTATCATTGTTAATATGAAATGTGACTGTAGACTCAGATGTTGGCAAGCGCGAAATCATATTCTTTTCCATTTCAGGCGACAATGAATTGACTATCTTATTCGGCAAAAACACTTTTCTGGGTCGTTTCTTTTCAGTGTCCGATATATCAATCAAATTGGCACGTTTCCTGTTTGATTCTCTTACAGTTAATACTGAATTATCATCTATATTTTGTACTTTTTCAGACATTTGCTGATCATTTGTGATTTCTGTAGGCAAATTTTCGAAATCCATGATCGCTGTAGGTTGAAGTTTTGGCACATCATGTGGTGGATTTTCTTTATCCAGATCAGGTACTTGCTGCCTAACTTTAATTTCACAAGATGATTTTGATATAGATGGTTTCAGTTTTGTACCAGATGATTGTTCTGATGACAATGCTATAGCTGGTTGATCTTCCTGCAGGTTAGATATTATGTTAGATACATTGGAAACTTGTGGCTTAGGCAATATATCAGAACATTTTTCTTGTGGCAACTCTTCCAGCGGCAAAGAATAATGTGGTCCATTTAACATTTCCTGCGTTAAAGAAGAAACTGGTTTCTGTCCATTCGGTATTTCCATCGTCAAAGAAGAATGTGGTTGTTGCCTATGGAGCACTTTATGCGGCAAAGAAGAATCAGGTTGCGGTCCATTTATTATTTCCTGAGACAAGGAAGAAACTGCTTTTTGTCTATTCAACACATCCATCGGCAATTCCTGCGGCAAAGAAGAATGTAGTTGCTGACCATTTAGCAATTTCTGTTGCAAGGAAGAAACTGGTTTCTGTCTATTCAGCACATTAATCGAGGAAGAAGAATGTGTTTGATGTCCATGTTCCATCGGCAAGGAAGAATGTGGTTGCTGTCTATTCAGCATTTTATGCGGCAAAGAAAAATCAGGTTGCGGTCCATTTATTATTTCCTGCGACAAGAAAGAAACTGCTTTTTGTCTATTCGGCACTTCCATCGGCAAAGAAGAATGTGCTTGCTGTCTACTCAGCTCTTCATGTGGCAAAGAAGAATGTGGTTGATGTCCAATTAATATTTCCGGCGGCAAGGAAGAAATTGTTTTCTGTCTATTAAACACTTCCATCGGCAAGGAAGAATGTGGTTGCTGTCTATTAAGAACTTCCTGCGGCAAAGAAGAATGTAGTTGCTGTCCATTTAACAATTCCTGCTGCAAGGAAGAAACTGGTTTCTGTCTATTCAGTACATTTATCGACAAAGAAGAATATGGTTGCTGTCTATTCACAACTTCCTGTTGCAAAGAAGAATGTGGTTGATGTCCAATTAATATTTCCGGCAGCAAGGAAGAAATTGTTTTCTGTCTATTAAACACTTCCATCGGCAAGGAAGAATGTGGTTGCTGTCTATTCATCATTTTATGCGCCAAAGAAGAATCAGGTTGTGGTCCATTTATTATTATCTGCGACAAGGAAGAAACTGCTTTTTGTCTATTCGGCACTTCCATCGGCAAAGAAGAATGTGGTTGATGTCCAATTAATATTTCCGGCGGCACGGAAGAAATTGTTTTCTGTCTATTTAACACTTCCATCGGCAAAGAAGAATATGGTTGCTGTCTATTTAGAACTTCTTTCGGCAAAGAAGAATGTAGTTGCTGTCCATTTAACAATTCCTGCTGCAAGGAAGAAACTGGTTTCTGTCTATTCAACACATTTATCGACAAAGAAGAATGTGGTTGCTTTGTATTCAAAACTGCCTGCGGCAAAGAAGAATGTGGTTTCTGCCCGCTTAATATTTCTTGCGGCGAGCAAGGAACTGATTTCTTTTTATTTGACACTTCCAACTGTGAAGAAGAGATTGGTTGTTGTGTATTCATTATGTCATGTGATGTGTATTCCATAATAGAATGCATTGTGTTGGGAGTTTGTTCCAGCGTAGATTCAAGTCTATGTACAGGAGGTGGTGAGAGTTTCGGTACCGGAAATGAAGAAAATATTTTTTGCTGTGACAAAGAAAGTTGAGTTGTTGGTATTTGCGTTATCATTTCTTTTTCTTTAAATACTCTTCCATGTTCTGACATGTGGTATGTTTGCTGCTGTTTATGCTTGTCTAAAGATGGAAGTGCATTTGTGGGAAACGCAGTTAAATTTTGTGATATCGATAATTGTGATAATTGGTGATATTGTTGCTGTTGCGCTGTTGGGTGTTTATATAAATTGTTATGGATCGGTTGCGGTGGTCTTATATTTTGCACATGTCCAGTTATCTGCGGTGGCTGATCGAAAATGTGTCGCTGAGGAAACAAATTATAATGATGCTGAACAGGCAACTCTGCATGAACTGGATTGAATTGCATCCTAGGATGCGATAATCCTAGGCTTAATTGCTGCACTTGCCTAGGCATTGGTTGTGGCAGGAAAAATTGATGAGATACTGGTTGATGCGCAACGGGTAACTCGACTCGTTGCCCTAATGCATGAGTTTGTTGAGATCTATTATGTGGAAACAATTCAGGCAGAGCACGAGGTTGCGTAGTCAAAACGTTTAACAATATGGCCATAATCGTGTTGACGTGATATCTAAGTTGATCCTCTGGCATATTATATGGCAAAACGAATGGGTATTGGACATAGTGGCTGTAATCCTGCTCAGTACTTGGAAAATTTTGTATTTGGAATGGATCCAATGGAACCATACTGATTACTGTGTGTCTATAATACGCGTGATGGTCGAAATTCCTATTACACATTTGTTGACGACGAATGACAAAGTGCTGCTTTGCAAAGTAAATATTACAGACAGTTTGCTGATGTACAGACTGAAAGCTTTCATATATTTTCATTTTTATCTCTCTGTTCTTGAATTTCGGTAAATTGTAATTGTAAAAGTATAAAGTTCCCGTATTATGATCTCCGCATACGTGTTGGGCACTGGATGGATGGTCGAGTGATTTAAAGTAGATTTTGAATTCTGTATCGTACCATTGTTGACAGTATAATGGATAGCTAAAATTATATTTGTGCATGGAGTACATATGCTCAATAAACAACTGCCTTCTATCAGGACTAATCGACCAATTACTATCCGTAGTTAAATTGATAGGAGTCACTTCTAACCTCATCGATTTTATGGCTCTTGCCCCCGTGTGTGCATCATTCACATATGCCTCTCGGTTAGTTGATCTCTTGATAGGTTTATTTCGAGTGATATTCATGGTTTGTGTAGTCGAAAAATTTGGATCTCTAACTATTTTAGAAACATTCGAATGAGTATTCACAGCTTTCTTAATTTCTGGCTGTTCACTGATTGTCGGATGACCATTACCTTTGTCGTTAGCAATTCTTTTGCGACTAGCTTCAATACTATAGTCCAAAGGTTTACACGAATCTTTGTTATTCTCATCTCGCATCAAATTTGAATCTACTTCTCTCAATATGTTATGTACATTTTTCGATGATCGATTCAAAACAATTCGAGAGCGTTCATCGGATTGCCTTGGAATCGTTACAATTTTCGCTTTCATAATCTTACGAACTTCGTAAAACGGAACAGTCCGTAAGTAATGTTTGGCTTGGAAATGAATTTCCGCACTCGCCCAGCAAATTTTATTCATCTGACAGTCAACCTCTCGCTGGATACTATTATTTTTATTTACGTGAATATCAACGAAGCCTTGTTTCTTAAAAGAATTAAAGCATAATTTTGATAAGGACTCCATCTTAATAGTTATATCATTCTGGACGATATTGATTATTTTCTTGGTACTAGATTCTTTAGATATGGGAACTTTTATATTTTCTTTGATCATGTTTAAAACAGTGCAGCGTTCAGAGATTTTCTCAAATATTTTCTGCTTATTTTGATCGGAAAGTTTCTGTATATCTAATACATTGGTGCAAACTTCACCATCTGTGGATACCGAAGCTTGATTGTCATCTGTTTCTATGTTGGATTCATTCATTATCAACAACTTTTTTTCCAAATAATGGTCCGTAATACTTTTGATTGGCGCGGTATTACACACAGTATCGTCTGGGGATACCAACATATCATTGTCATTAGTCACAACGTCATCGGTAGTACATTTGTTCTTTGCGGAATCACAAATAGTAGTGTCTGTGGACATCAAAAATTGATTGTCATTAGTTTTAACAATGTTTTCTTTTGTGATACACGGATTTCTTTCCAAACAATTATCAGTAGTACTTTCGATCTGCGCGGTAACACAGACAGTAGCGCCTGGGGACATCAAAATTTGATTCTCATTAGTTTCAGCGACGTCTTCTTTCCTGATCCACATGTTTCTTTTCAAGAAATTATCACTTTCGTTCTGCGTGGTATCACATACAGTATCATCTGAGGACACCAAAACTTGAGTGTTATTTTCCTTGTCCTTGTCAAATTTCAGATTATATTCGGATATTTCACCAGGGGTTTGTATACGAAATATGTTGGATCCGTTTTGTATCTTTTCCATGTCGATGCTGACAATTACGGAATCGTTATTGATTTTCCGAATCCCAAAGTTCTTGTAGACTGGACCAATCTCACGGTGCATCTGGACAACAGTTGGAAAGACGTCCATATTCAGGAGAGGTGGCTTTGACGCAGGCACCTCTTTGTTGAACCTTACCGGTTCAAATGCCACCGAAGAGAATATGGACAGCAGGTTTTGGACGCCGTAGAAGTCGCGGCCTATATCGATACCTTGCTTCACAAAATCGAAACTGCCTGTCTCGTAGTATACGCGAGCCAGGTTCAGTGCGTAATATAGGAAACTGTTCATAAAATATTTTTGAGTTGCACTCTTCACGTTCAAAAATGTTATGGATGACAGCAACTTCGGATGGCGGATAGAAATTAAGTCCAATAGGAACATGCTCCAGAACTTGTTGGCATTCCTATGATAGCTCGCGATCTGTTTAAAAACCAAGTTGCATTGTGCCTGGTCCTAAAAAATAAAAGAGAAAAAATATATTTTAATAAATTGGATAACGATAACTAAATTAAAATTTAACGGAAATTGAAATAAAAATAAATATAACCATTTTTAATTCAAAAAATTGTATTTTATCGACTTCCAACATATGACAGTAGTACTTTTTATTTGGTAGAAGTAATTACTGTATTAAGTGAAACCAATTAGTCAAAAATAGTAAATATCCAAATGGTTCCAAGCGAAATGTATTAGTTCTTAACAGCGAAAAAATTTACTGAATTTTAACAAACAAAATATTGTAAATAATAATATGAAATGGAAATTTCCATTACATGCTTTGCTATTATTAAAAATGAAATAATTTACTAACAACAGATTGTAAATAAACAAACAAACGACGATGTACATGAAAATATTTACTTATTACCAAGTACCAACTTTAAACAATAAAAGTGTAATACAAATAATAAACATTATTTTATAGAATTGAAGAAGTCGATGAATATATATTCAGTTTTTAAATTTTATTAATTATAATGTGCTCATTCCAGCCCGCTATTTCAAGTCACCTACAAGCCCGATACGGTACGCCCCACTCCAGCCCGTAGCTGGTATTCCGAGAAGGTCTGATAAGGGCTCTATCTGGTTAGGGTATATACGCGGCAACATATCCGTAACCGCTCTCTTATTTCCTGTCTTCTCTTTCGCTACTCTTGTACCTTAATAACATGTAAGGTTCTCTGTATTATCTCGTGAGTATTCTCTGTGCCGGGCCTCGGAAACATTATACTGTATTATAACTAGCAATGATTTACTCTAATAAACATTATACTACGAGAATCTCCAAAATAATAATAATTTAATATGTATAAATATAATATTGATATTGCGATTATGCGAAAATAATGATGAAATCTACGAGGGGTCTAACAAAAGTTCGCTAAGTTGGCATTAATTCATTTGTTTCTGAAAAAAAAGTTGTTTCTCAATTTGTTAAAATCTAACTATATTTCATGTCAAATTTTAAGAAGATCGGTAAGAATGGAGAGGAGAAAATGCAAGATTAGTGATGTAATTTTGGTAGAAATTCCATCACCAACACTGCAAAAATTGATTTTGTCATTCTCTATGGATTTCGACGTCAACTCAAACCTATGCAAATTTTCCAGGAATGTTAAAATGCATATGGAGTGAATGCATTATCTCTTCTGACTATTGCCAAGTTGTTTCAAAGATTTCAGACCGGACATACTGAAGGTTGCCCGAAATCTTCGACCGATGATACAAATGTAGCCCTGATGAAGGCAAAAATTGACAAAGATACAAGAGTGACACAGGAAATGATAGTTGATGAAAGCTATGGCTACACAAAATCCGCTCAATGCGTTCTACGATTTTTAAATGACGACCAAATAAAGGCACGTGTTCGTTTTGCCGAATATTTCAACAACAAAAATGATGATGTCGATGTACTTTACTAGGGTAAAAGTGGTAGCTGCTCTCTCACTCAAAGCTAGTCAGAGGGTAACTGCTAAGTAGTACAGAGAAACTTGCTTATCACAAGTTTTCAAAAATTAGTTGGAAAACCAGGAAAAATGGGATCTTCGTCTCTACTTCTTACATCACGATCATGCGTCCACTCACACTACTCAAATAACCAACAACTTTCTTGCGCCATCTGGCATCAATGAAATTCGCCTAGCACCTTATTGTAGCGACTTAGCGTCTTGTGATTTCTGGATGTTTCCGAAAATAAAAAATTGAAGTAAAGAATATTCCGTTTCAATGAAGAGATCATTAAATAAAAGTTGAAAAGCTCCAAAAAGGTGGCTTATTAAAGTAAAATTGTTATTGTTTTCTTTTTTTCCAGCCAACTTAGAGTATTTTTGTTAGACCTCACGTATAATTTGCTTCTCCATACGGAAGTTCGTTGATTGTAGAAAAACAATTGTTTGCATTGAATTTCATTGAAATCTTTAATTCTCTAATAAAGTTCCTTTTGTAAATTGATAAACCTATGGCAACAAAAATGTTTGAATCAATATCCAACATATCAATATTCGTTACATAGATTTAGATATACATGTCCTGTCTTGGATTATAAAACCATTTAAAATTAACATTTATTTGTCATTGCAATGGAAATTGATTAAACTAATGAAAAAAATAGAATCTATAATCAATTTTCAATTTTCAAACGTGTGGTTTTGAAAAAAAATGGAATTGCAAATACAATGAATTAACAAATATCTCCAAATCATTGTTTTTCGATTATACTAATTCATACTTAATATTACAAAAATAAACAAAAATATATAAAAAATATTACTAAAGAAACATCAACCATATTTATATGATTAATATTTATGTTGCTTTAAAATAATTATTATATAATTATAAAACATACGTATTTGTAAATTTGTTTAATACAAAAAAAAATCTAAATTGATCTTTCCAATAATAACTTGATTATTGACGATTACAATAAACAAAATTTAGGGGTTGATTGAAAAACATTGAGAAAAAAAGGTTCGGAACCCCTGGTCTACACATATTCCATACACTTGACTCATGAAAAAATACAGATAATAATATTATTACTTTAAAAAATAATTTTATAATAATTAATATCATTAACGGAACTAGTTACTAATAATTTAAATTTGTAACAAGTGTTTTATTTTCAAACTCGATATGATTAGAAATGTTGATAAACGTGTACACAAAACATGTTTATATAAATTTTAAGAAAAATATGATTATAATGTACAGAATTTAATAATAATTGTAATAAAACTTAGTATTTTGTTTTATATAACGTTGAAATTATATATTTATTTAAAATATATGAGTAATAACATTAATTAATTTAAAAATTTATTATATGAAAAATATAGTATAGCTCACCCGCAGTCGAGAATTTTCGTCTTTGAGCCTCTTGACGACCCGACGAACGGCATCTTTATCATCTGTAAAACAAAAGATACATGAAGATGAGAACATTAGATAAAGTACGTAATTGCTAAGGGAAGGTGTTATGTGAGTCAAACGGTCTTAAGGAAAATAATGTGTATTGTCGGAAATCCGTCCACTCGTGATTCTTCAATAATGCAACTTTTACAGCATATGCAAGGAGATATTCGAGTTACCATAAAAGTAGGGTTTATACAATAACCGGTATAAACCGGTTTTCAAATTTTCACAAAGAAATAGAGAAAAGGGATTTTTACAAGTTATTTTCTATACACACGGATCAATAGCACATACAAAATTTACAGAAATAGATAAAACTCCCATATAAATAATGAACCAAATTATTTGTTCTTCTCTTTGTACCCTCTAAATTCACATCTTCAGGTTCCTGAAGATATTTATGAATTGATTTTTGCAAAGCAAATTATGATTTGTTTTTCTTCTTCGCCGGTTTTTCATCATCGCAATCATCTTCTCTTTAATAAGTTGGATATGATCTTGATAATATTTCACCAAAAACTTAATGAAGTCAGTGAAAGAAATAAGCTAAACGTTCTATGGATTTTGTAAATTAACTAAAAACATTACTAAACTAAAACCTTGGAACTAATTTCAGTTTTATTTTTTTTATTTCAATTCACATAATAAAGACAATTTTGTGTCAACATTTTTATGTTTTCAATCAAATAATTAAAATAATTAATTAATTTTTATATTTTAAGTCTAGACTCAAAAACCGTATTTTTAGTTGGAAAAATCCGGTTTTCAAATTACATAAATTTTCTCTAAAAACCGATATCCCTACATCAAAAAATATAAATCTGAACCATAATGGTTTTGCGAGAATAAAGATAGGCGATGAGAGGCAAGAATAAACCCACATAACTAACCTACTGTAATAACCATTGTAACACTCTTAAATATAATAAAAGAATTTAAAATGCAATGCAAGAATAAACCCAATTCGAACGAAGAATAAAATCCAGCCGTCGTTCAAAGAAACAACGAGTGCACACTGCAATATTGTTGCATTAAAGTCAATTGATGTACAAATTATGTTTGCTTCTGAATTTGCTCATTGAATATCCTTGCACAAATGTTAAATAGGTTGTTTAGCATTTAGTAAATTAATGACTTCCTTCTAATCCTGAATGTAAATATTAGAGTAATTTTATTTATTTTTACGGTCTTATTTCTGCCATCCTTAGAGGATTTTTTTTACATTTGGTGATATTCGAACCAATCACCGTTCGTTTCAGATTTTATGATACAAAAGACCATAACCATTGACACTAAAACAACTTTGTTTTACTAAAAATTGACACTTATATTTATTTCTATTGTTATTGATAAATTTTAAAGATAATATTGAAGTTTGACACTTTTAATCCTGAATATAAATTAGTTGTCAATATTACAATGTTTTAAATGTCAATTTTGTTATTGACATTTGACATTGATCACATTCTTCTATCATTAATATAAATAAATAAATTGTGAACTACTTTAAATTTCAAAACTCAATAAATATCACATTAGCATCAAAAACATATTTTACGGAAAATTAAAAAATTAAATACTAAATCGGAATTATCAATAATTTGAACATTTTTACTTCAGTAAAAACCTTGTGCGTTACATTTTGTAACAGTCCTTTATAGAAAGTCCTACTTTACACTCGGGAGACCGAGTTGTAAACTATTTTCTTTTTTTTTTTTCACCTCGAACAGTATTTGAGCATACATGGCAAATTATTTGTCTTTTTTGTCTACTTTCAGTAGATGGAATATGGTTTCCATATTTCCAAATTTTTGTAAAATTTGTCTCACGACATTTCTAATAATAATTTTCAATGAGATAAAAAATAATTATTTTTATAAGAAATTTGCTAAATACTAAATATTTAATCACTTAACCTATTAACGAAAAATCAGTTAGTAAATCTAATACAACTTAAAAAGTGTAATTTTCTAGAAATATGTAAAATAATACAGATGGGTACTGTTTAGAATATTTTCAAAAAGATAGTATTTATAATAAAATTATAAGATACATACAAAAATAAATATATGATTATTTTTAAGAGAAAAATCTCTTAGGATCACTATACTATTTGCAATTATTGCATTCTATAAAATCCGCAGAATTGTATTAAAATATCATTATAGCTTGTTGATTAATTATTTTAACAAATACTATAAAAAAGTTTGAGAATCACTACTAAAGACCAATATTTGAATGGATACCTGAAAGGTATATTTCAGTAAATATTTAAGAGTATAAAAACATTCTTTCAACTACATTTAGAGACCTTCGAGAAAATATGGTTTTGTCGCTACACGCACGTATATATGAAATTCCATTTCTTTTGAAACAACATTTTTATTTTGAAAAATGTAATTAAAATATGAATATAATGTTTGAAAAAGTTCATATTACAAAAATACTAATTTCAAAGAATATTGGTCTAAATATAACGAGCTCCAAGCAAAATACAAAATAAATGTTTACTGTAATTTTGCAGAAAACTTTCCTACATATTCATATTTCTAATTATAATAGCTACTGCAGTCGTTATACTCTCAGTTTTGTAACATTTGAATATACAGTGGAAGCTCGCTTAACGAGTTTAATACGTTTCAAAATTTCCGGATTTTTACTTGTGTAGTGAAATAGTTTTCCCGATATAAACTAATGTAAATTACGATATTGCGTTTCATGCGTTTAGCGAGTCATTTTTCTTAAATATCATTTTGATCGTTATGCGAGGTGTTCGTTAAGCGAGATTCCACTGTATACTAATTCCATTTTAATAAAAAAACTAATATTTAGTAATGCTTTGAATCTATTCTAACACTTTAGTAATAATAACTATAATCATGCAGTAACGATTAACGTTACCTCTGATAACAAAGCATCGACATACTTCGTTATATCGAAAACATTTCTTGTTCTCGAAAAGAAATTGTTAATAAATGCTTAGAATTGTATTAGAAGAAAAAAATTACATAAAATAATCAAGATGATGTGGATGTTAGAAATGTATTCAGTGCAAAAGATGACATTTTTCAGAGGAATGTTTAGAAAACCTTGTCAGCTACAAAGACAAAGGAAATGAAGACAAAATTAAAGACGTTCCCGGCGAAAAAATATGTTAAAAAGTAAATATTTAAAAAGGTGCTTAAAATTGAAAACGTTTTATTGTATTAGTAAAAATCATTATTTAGATAAATAGATTTATATTTAGAGAAGAGTGATAACGTATAACGAAGTATATAATCGTGGAATGTATGACTGTATAATTTATTGATGACAGCAGAAACAGTTTGTCTGCCCTCACTTTTGTAATATTTTAATTTATACCAATTTACTTTAATTTATAAATATAAAGAAATTTATAATCGAAAATAGAATACACGTGATTCATAAAACTATTGTAAGTATTTTGAGCGGACGATAAAAATGTTATTTATAGTAAACGCAATGCATAATTATTTTCTCCCCCAATGTTTTGACGCAGAGATTGGCTTTTCGTCGACGAGATTGGCGTTTATTTTCGTTCCGGAAAGCCATTTCTCAGCTATAATCGTTTTTCGCTGTTGCTATTGTTTTCAGCATATTATTTTTATTATTGCACGGTTCGCTCGATTTATCTTTATGTCCGCCCGCATTAATCGCATGTGACATAAACACAGATCTATTTCTCACAACAGTTTTTCCTTGACGCAGTTTTAAATTATCACAACAAAAATGTAGATTACAATAATGCAGATTTACTAAGATTGGCTAAGAATAAAGTACATCAATAATTCGCATAGATTCACTATAGTATGGTTCGAAATTAAGACATTTGCCATACAATAATGGCGAAACAAGTGTAGAACAAAATGGCGTTTTGAACGGTTGCATTCGTTACAATTTATTTAATTATTTACTCTGCAAATGCGCAATAAAATCAAATAAAACAGAGATGTTGGACAACTTTTATATCAAGTACAGTCGAAACAAAATGGCGTTCCACTATAATATGGCGCTGAGACAATCTCAACGCGCAAAGAACTTTGTACATGTTATATGAATCATAGATTATTTGAATCTAGAGGCATATCGGTGAAACAAATTATTAAACATATGATTTATGCGCTCTGATAAAATATCTGTCAGTATGACATTGACGTTGTATATATATACGATATATCATGAAATGATGCATGTTATTGCAACTGAAAGGCTCATGTTTCATAGCAAAAGTCTTTTTTAAGTCGATTTAATATTTATAAATAAACATTTTGTAACATTATCCTCAAAACAATAGTTATCTTTAAAACAGTTAAAATGTGTAATTCTATAAAATAATAGTTTATCACTATTAATAACAAACAACTATTACTGTGTTGTAAAAGAAAAGTAATGAACGTTTCCAATATTTCCTTTAAAAAATAAAGATTTTTTTAATTGCATATCATGAGAATCGTAATTAACCATTATATTCGACGCTACAATATAAATAAATATACTGCTTGTGTATGAAGTGTTATAATAAATACAATATCAAGATTAAAACTACTGAAGATATTTTAGTACTCGTTTTACGACATGCTTAGATAACCATCAAAATAATTATTTATTATTATATTTTTAATGAATTCGCATAGTGCGGCCTCAATTAGTGCGGATACACTATAGTACGGTTTGAAATTACAACATTTGCTATGAAATAATGGCGAAACAAGTGTAGAAAAATGACGTCTCGATTGGTTGTATTCGTTACAATTTCTTTAATTTTTGAATGTCTGAAAACTATAAAAAACTAAAATTAATCGCATTTTTTTAGAATTTTACTTGTGCAAACAAAAATTATTGGTATATAGTGAAATCATATAAACATATTTAACTTAAATTCCTAAATTAAGTATAATTTCTTCTGCTCTTACTTATTAAATTATTGCATATATAAACATATGTTTTTGTTTAACTCTTCTCTTTGTATATACAGCATATTTCAAGTTTATTGTAAGAATTATTTTTTTATAGCAATAAATAATCGCAATAATTAAAAAACGTTCAATCACAAAATATTTTTCTATTATTTCTTCTTTTTGATGATGATAAATTAAAAATAAATATTATGAACAGTTTAAAAAAATAGATAATTATGTTCAAATACGTCTATACAAATCTGTTTTGCAAAGAGTGATCAGTCTACATAGTAATAGTTAAATTAAAATAGATTTTTTGCAAGTTCCTTGTATACAATTTTTAAAACATTTGTTTCCTTTATATTCAGTTTATGAAATTATTAATATAAAATCATCAAAATAATTAAGTTTTAGCAAATCTTTATAATTATAAGTGGTTTGAGTGTTACGGTAAATGGATTTTTGAACGAAATTAAAAAATAAATTGAGTGCATTATGAAATATGACTGTTGATGAGCAAAAACCAAGCCATTGGGATATTTATTTGATTTTTATTATTGGGGCAAAAATATATTGAAATTTACCTTTTCTATTTCCAAGCTTGTGAAGTTTCATGCCAACTGCGTAGACGTACGGAAACTTCCTTGTCAATCTTCGACGTCTAGCTGGTTCGGGTATGGGGAATCTTTTTATTATGAGCTTCTTAGCTGCGAATATACATAAAAAAATCAATTTTCGTAGAGATGAGCGAGTAATCGAACCGGGAGTTCCATAGCAAAAGAAGAGCGGCGAATTTGCACGGATTCTGGATCTGGTGCGTCTGCTTCTGCTTCTCCTGGTGCTAGGAACGTTATCAATATTCGGGTATTCCCTCTCGGGGTATGGAGAAAGCTCACAATAATTCTTGCGCGGCAAGTTCCGCAGCACCATCGGCATCTTGATTTTGTTTGGTTTCTTCCTTTTCTTTCGGACCTCTCCTTTCAATGTTAGAATCACCTTGTCTCTGGTCTGGCTCACCGAATCCAGCAGCTCCTTTTTTTTATCATTATTTACACGTGACACCCTTGGCTTTCGCTTCCCGAACATCCTGCCACCGGCCGCCCGACGACAGCCAACTGAAGAAGTTCAGCCATGCCTAGCTCGATTTTATCCAGTAATTGCTCACAATTCGTAAACAAAATTGTTGATTGTTTGCAAATTGGAGGCGTCTTGATTCGTCACAAATTAACTCGCGCTCATTCGTTCTAAATACCAGTTGTACCCCCTCAGGATAGTGTCGCAGTGCAATGGAGAAGCAGTCAGAGGAAGCAGTCCTTCTCCGTTGACGAGCAACTTGAATTTGAGCTACAGCGAGCGTAGAAACTTTTATAGTATTCGCAGCAATAAATCAAACGACCCTTTCCCGCCGGAGACAAAACAAAACGCGATTAAATCGCTTGTGCAGTTTCTGCATCTCAGGTTTACGTCAAACTCTGCAGCCACCAATCGGATGTGGACTCTGCTCTTTCTCTTGTGCGTATTCATATAATAATAGGTCCACTTAAGTTATTTGTTCAAGTGACCGTCGTTAAAATTCAATGAGGAACTGCCCTATGCGCTCTGCAGTGACTTGATTCTCTTCTAAAATAGAAATAGATAATACTGTGACTTTTTCCAATTCACATTGAATCCCTCACATTATTGTGCTTTTATCGCAACTATAACTACTCAACTTTGACTTAAATCATGTTTATATTATTTTTCTAATTATATCCGCTGAACTTATCAACGTAATGTGAATATAAAAGATACAGATGTGGGTTTAAACAATATTTAGTAGCTATTAAGATATGTTAAAAGTCTTAGTGTTAGGGGCGTGGAAAGGCGAATTAATAAATCTATTTTTTTTTCCAAAAATTAAAAAAAAATCTGTTTTGAATATAGAAAATAATCATTCCATCATAGTAATTAAATTAATAATTAATTGAATATATTTTTTTTTTAATATTTTCAATAGATAAATTAAATTGTTAGCGAAATTAAAACTTTTATATCTCTAACTTATCAAATTGTCCAGAATATCACTGACACTTTCCTCACATTTTAAATGTCATGTACACTTAGTTCATGTCTAATCTCAACATAATGGACTAACTAGATTTTCTGGATGATATTATGATTATACGATAATATTTTTTAATTTGTATAGTATTTTTGTACTCTTTAATAAATTTGTACCACGTACACATTTTTTGTAAGTAATAAATATAAAAAAACAGAAAAGATATATTTTTCTAATGGTTTATTATTATTTTTTCATTGCTTATGATTTACGTATTCATTTTTATTTATTTATGTATAATCGTTACAATAAATATTAATAATTTTAATATTTAAAAACTGAAAGACTTAGGTTGATAGCCCTTTGTTTGCATTGTAACTAATAAATATTATTAATATTGTTATTATTTCAAAGGAACCCTGATAGTATAAATATTAAACAAGAATTTAATTTTGTTTTTTTTTTTAACAGTAAATGCGTTGAAAATTCATTTCAGTTACATTATTGAGTTAGAGCATATTTAAATAATCAATTGATATTTAATAATTTTAATTATTTACGTACAATTATCACATTTAATTGTTTTGTTTTCTGAGAAATAATTGAAATAAAATCTAATACACTTAAATAATTATGTAATTTTCTATGAAAGACAATATTTTATTACTTTTGCATATTGTGTGCAAATGATATATTAAAAATTTGCTTAATATGTCTTGAATTTCTTCAATAAACACAGATTACATCATTTAGATTACTAGGAGATATATAGTGATTAAAAAATAACTATCCAAACTAAAATTTCTTGAATTTATTTCTTTTGTCATTTTAAATAACCCCCGACTTACGAATAACCCTTTGGAACGGAACTAGTTCGTAAGTATAACTTCAAGATTCGTAATCACTGCAATATTGTAGTCTCTAAATTTCATTAGTTGATCAGTTTTATTTTTATCTCTAGTCTTGTATATATGTTTTAAGTTAGGTATAATTCTTATATGCAATATATAATTGAATCGTTATTTTGGAAAATGGTAGTCATATATTTCTCCAAATGGACTGATACCACTTTCAACAATAACATATGAGCCGTTTTGTTTTTTTAATGGTATAAGACCACTTTTCGAAATAAAAATAGTTAATGATAATTTCAGTAATTTTTTGGTCCGCAGCCTTTTACATTAAAAGAAAACCCTGCCATTCCCCGAAAATGGGTATGTGTAGAAAAATATCCAGAATTAATCTGTCATTAATTTTTCTACGATTCCCTAAATACTTTGTGAATCACTGATGTAGATAATCTTTTCCAAATAAAAAATATATATTTTCAGCCATTTTATATTTTTTTTAATATTAATGTTGTTTTTAAGGCAATTACATGCTAAAAGGCAGTGCAAACTGAAGTCCTAATAATCAATAATAATTACAATTATTATTATTACAAACTTACTTTACCACTTTAAAAAGTAATTGCTCAATTGTGGCATTATTTAACATTAAAATAGTTCAGCGATGCCTAGACTCGCAGACGTAAAAAAAGTGACATTACAAACTTTAATGAAAAGTATCAGTTTGTCAAATGAGGTATTCCTTTAATTGTAAGTGAACCTACTACTAATACATTTTAAAAAAATATAGAAAATGGTTTCATGAATTGCCAGTAGACAAATCTCTTGGATGATGAAATAATAGACTTTCTCTGCACCTCTTCAGATCTGCAGGATAAAAAAGGAAGCTTCTAGTAGTCAGCAAATTAGATAACCATTTTCATACATATGATCTTCATTACCATTTTTGAGGAGTGTCAAAAACCAATATTATATTTTTTCATATATCCTACATATATGTTTACTCGTATTCTTCAGGAAGTAATCTACCGTGTAAAAAAATATATTTGAGTGTAAAGTGGAACCACGTTTAACGAGCATAATCCGTTCCATGTCGGAATAAAAATTAAATTGGTCTAGCTTTTTAATGATTTTGCTTTTTGCACAACAAAAAATCAAAAATAACATAACTATAATAACGGTTGGACACAAAATATGTTTGTTCTGCAGGTGCAAAATCTGAGACTTCTCCTCGTCACTCATGCGAAACGTCGCTCGTTAAGGGAGTCAATTTACAATTTATAATGCTTCTTAAGCTGGGTGTTCGTTAAGCGAGGTTCCACTGTATTTAGTTCGGGATATTGGCGGAACCGATTATCAGCACTAACATCGCATAGTTGTTGTTGTTCCTTATAAACATAAATTCATTCAATTTTCTGTTATTTATTATAAAAAAATAATGATAACAATATTTTTTTTGCAACAATTACATAAATAATTACAGACAAAAAAAATATGAATTTAAAAATGAAATGTCTGCAAAGATTATAAGTCTGATTTTTTTAAGAATATTATGAGTATACATTTTTTTTAAATTTGTTTATGGGCTATTGTTTCAATAAATATTATGAATTATTAGTCACAACTTCCAATCAATATTATTCATACATTGTTATTTATTTTTTATACAGTTTTTGTGTATTTTAGCTATTATGTTATCATTATATATTTACAAATAAAATAAATATTATATTATATTTCTAGTAAATATCGAGTTACAGTTCTAAACAGGGGACTTTCCTTATAAATCAACTGTCTTCTCGAATTACGTTGCTTTTAATATGCTTAATATTTCTTATCAACAATATGAAGTAAATTAAATTAAACACTGCCAATGCGACATCATCAGGAAAATAATCAAATCGGCTGCCTTATCTGCCTTCATTCGACCAAATACAGTAGCCACGTGTTCCCACAGCTTCTCGCTTTAAGAAAACATTGCAAACTTGCCGGTTTTTTTTCCATACTAACAGCGCAGCTCCTTAATGACTAAGCATTTGTACCACAAAAAAAGAAAACAATAAATAAACTGCATTGCAAACGTTTATTTGCGGCTGCTAACCGTGATTGAAACGTTTTGCCCAAATGTAAACAAAACGCTCGAACAAAGAGGAAAAAGGCAAATCATAATAAAAATAAAAATGAAACGCTCGGTCTTTCGATCAATAAATGTCGCTTATGTTCACATTTACGACGACCATTGTTTTTCGATTTTATTATATTTCTCGTCCTCTCTGTATTCCCCATATTCGCATTCTTAACGCTTCGGGTCGACCATTGTTCGCAATTGTTTTGCATTCGTACGCCACATACAATTGTTTCCCTATTAATATTATCAATCAATTCTCTCCGGTTTTTGTAACCTGAATCTGCTGTATCAATAACAAACAACAGTCTCAGGCATATATTAAAAAAAATCACGATATTTACTTGATTACGCTGTTATCATTTTCCCCGTTAAGTTTTATGATCGATTCAGATATTGCATGCAATTTCAATAACAAAGTAATAAAATATGATTTCTCAAAAATAATTAAAATGTGAAGTATTTTTGGTTTGCTTTATTCAAACTTATTTGCAGTTCACGATAACTTATTTCATTGTTTGGAATTACAGGTATCCCACGGAACTAGTTCCGTTCCAAAGGGTTGTTAGTAAGGAGAATTTTAAAAATTTAAAAATAAGTATATTACCACACTTTATCATGATTTTTACTGTTATATTTGTTAAATTCCGTATTACTAACTGCATAAATTTGAAAAAATAAATTAAAATAAACAAAATATTTACTTACTTACTTTTCAATGTAGACATCATAATTATTTAATAAAAAAACGATAAAAAAATAAATGCAACAAAACAAATATTATATTTTATTAAAGAAATTATCAATTATTGTTTGGACTATTAATTTTTTTGGCACTATATATCTCCTTGTAACAAGTTAGAGCTTTTAGAATTTTGTTCATAAGTCCGGGGGTTCGTAAGTTGGGGATACCTGCATAGTACAGTAATACCTTAAAGAAGGGTTTCCTAAAGTTTTTCTGAAACGGAACACTTCTTAAATTCTGAAATTTTCACGAAAAACTTTGTATATTTATAGGGTAGGTAAGAGCACATAATCAATATGTCAATCATTGTTAGTACGGCATCTAAATTTACCGATTTTTGTTTATCAATAAACGTAAAAACTGGTAAATTACCGGTATTTATTTTAATTAAGTTTTGATAAAAGTTGAAAACATTAACAAAAAAAGCTATTAGTTTAGAAAGAAAGTAAAATTCATTGTAACAAAAGGTTTTTTTTCTGACTTTTTTCATGTAGCAATATTTATATTATCTTTGTTAATAATATTAATTTCATGTTCTGAAAACGAAATTTTAATTTATAAATCTTTTTCTGGTTCATTACTTCAATTGACATCCATGTCGTCTTGTTAACCAACATCAAAGAGATTTCATTCCTAAATTAATTTATGGCGTACTATTGATTAATCTCGTCGGATTTTAGTTATAATTGATGAAATATCTTTCAATTTTTTAGTCAAAAAATATACTTAAATTATTGGTATTTCTTGTGAAAATTTTCGCCGAATACCTTGTTTATTTTGATGAGAAAAATATTCAATATTTATTTAATAATAATTTCATTCCAGGTTTTTCACGGAACATCTATTAACTTTTTAAGGAGCACCCGTAACATATTGGCCCTAGTTAAGCTGTTGTCAAGAAGATTTGAAGCGTGAAAGTGTATCGACAGCAATTGTTAACCGGGTTTCCGAAGAGTATTTAGGAGAGCCGCGAAAATATTATTAAAAGGCAGAAAGATATATGGTCAATAGCCCTTTGTAGCATATCAATTTTTTTGTTATTTTCTTATTATATTATTTTTATTGAGTATGTAGATTTGTTACAACTAATGTTATTAATAGATTTTTTTATGCTTTGACATCTTTACAAATCAAAATTGTTTCTTCTAGGCTAACGATTTCTACACTATACTGACCATCTGATAAAGCATATTAGGTTTATTGCATTTCGCATCTGTGCGAAAAATCAAATTTGGCCATTAATTTCGACAACAAATATGGATTATAAAACTGTTTTACTTGGCAGACATCTATATTCTAAACCAAGTAAATTTATCTATGCAAGGAAATCAATATGTTTTCCTTGCGAGATAAAATAGAGGTGAAGAAAATGAAAATTATTATCAAATGATTTAATCATTTTGTATTTGATAAAGAACATACAAATAATTTAATTCAATGTCATCTCCAAAAAATATCACCGACATACGATGACGCTCTACTTGAATTGAATTCCATAATTTTTTAAAACCGCATAAAACTAAATCAATGAGTTACAA